TGAGTAGTCTTGAGTGTTTTTGTGGTGGGGGTGGGAGATTCTTAATGGGGTTGTTCTGTTTTTACACTGGAATGGAAAAAGATTGGATTTTTAATTAGTTTTTATGTTTTTTTTGTGTATGTTATGATTCTTGAAGGTGTTTAAGATTGTTTTCTGGGGTTTTTACTTAAAGGGTGACATTTTCCCAGTGTTTTTGTTTGTTTTGGGATTTTAGTGTACCAAGTGATTTGTTTTTTTTGTGATCTATTGAGTAGGAGTGTTTCTGTATATGTTATTTTTTTTTGGGTGGTGTGCTGGAGTTGTTCTGTTTTTGCACTAGAATGAAAAAGATTGGATCTTTTATGGTTTTTTGGTATAAATTTTGATTCTTGAAGATGTCTAAGATTGTTTTCTGGGGTTTTCTCTTAAAGGGTGTTGTTTTTGTTTGTTTTGGAAATTTTAGTTTACTCAATGATATGTTTTTGTGATCTAGTGAATAGTCTTATTGTATACCCAGTGGTGTTTTTTTGGGAGATTCATAATGAGGTTGCTCTATTTTCACACCAGATATGAAAAAGCTCTGTTCTTTCTGTTTGATTGTATCATTTTTTTGTGCTAGTTGTATGGATCTCATGATTCTTGAAGTTTGAAGGATTGATTTTCTGTGTTTTTTCCTCAATGGGTGTCTAATATTTTTATTTTACTGTTTTTTTTTGTTTTGGAATTTGAGTATGATGACTTGTTGAGTGATCTTCCACTCAAAATTGTATTTTGTTTGGTTCTTTGCCACCTCATTAATGGGTTAGTTTTGTTTTTACACCTAACATGTGCAAGATTCTTTTCTTTGATATTCTAAACAACTTTTTGGTAGCCTGTTTATGGATCTAAAGATTCTTGAATCTAGTAAGATTCTTTTGTTTTTTTTTCTTCATAAAAGGTGTCTGGTGTATTTCTGGATTTTGAGTATAATGTCTCTGTTGTGATGTAGTGAAAGTGCTAATTTTTTTTTTGATTGAAATGTTAAGAGTGTTTATGTGGTTTAATCTGTCAATTTCATTAGATCTATCTATTTTCCCTTTGTTTTTTTGTTTCTTTTGTAGTTTTCCTCTTCAATTGAGATCCTTTTTTCATTTGCTTTGAGTAAACAAATGAAACTTTCTACATATAAAAATAACTTGTTTTTCACTTAAACTTATAAGTGTTTTTTTTAGTTTCTTGTGGAAAGTGATATTTTCTGGAGAAAGATCTGATTTTTTATCAGTTTTCCTATTTGGAAATTTATTTCAGTTCTTAGCTACTTGTGATTAAATAAAGAGTACATTTTGATGTTAAAATATACATATTTTTGTCTGTTTATTACCAGGATTGGTGGATCAGGCATGGACATGAGGAGCAAAGCCAGGGTATAATCTCTTTTATTGATTCTAAGTTTATATATTTTTCGCGATTTTTCGAATAAGTTGAAGTTTGCTTATATGAGTGTTAATTTTGATTTACAGACTCTCCCTGGTCCAGTTACTAGTCCTGCAGAACTACCCAAATGGAACTACGATGGATCGAGCACTGGTCAAGCTCCCGGAGAAGACAGTGAAGTGATCTTATAGTAAGCTCGCCTTTCGATGTGCATAATCTGCTAAATTTTTTTGTGAAGTGAACTTTTTTCTGACTACTATTGTTTATTTAATTGAAATTTGACAAAGTCCACAAGCAATCTTCAAGGACCCATTCAGAAGAGGCAACAACATCTTGGTCAGTTTCAAGATTTATTTTATTACCTATCATTAATTCCAGTGTCCAAGTTTTTCTAGTTGACTTTTATTGAGTATCTGAAAAGAGTTTAACTTCTATACGTCAGTGACTTTAGATTACGTTTCTTGAAGTCTGACAGTTGCGTGTTGGATCCTCCAAAAGTAGTGGATTTTTCGAGGATCTAGACACGTATCAGCAACATAGGCAGGAGAATTATGATGGTACTAATTTTTGTGAATCATTTGTTTGATTCTTTCTTTTTCTTTTTTTGTACTGAAGGTCATGTGTGATGCCTATACTCCTGCTGGTGAGCCCATCCCAACAAACAAGAGGCACGCCGCCGCCAAGGTCTTCAGCCACCCTGATGTGGCTGCTGAGGAAACTTGGTATTGACATATTCTATTAAGCTTTTAAAGTATAGCTTAAACTCTTTTCTGGGATACGATGATTAGAAATTGTGTGTATGAATTAGGTATGGTATTGAACAAGAATATACCTTGCTGCAAAGGGAGGTCAACTGGCCTCTTGGATGGCCCATTGGCGGTTTTCCTGGCCCCCAGGTATATCTTTAATACCGGCTATACATTTTGTAGCATTTTTCTTTTTTTTTCCGTGTCTTTTTGGCATTAGTTCTTTCATTTAGCTCATCTCCTTAGTCACAGATTATTTTCTCATATTGCTCGCATTACATTGTGTCACAAATGTCATGTATTGCTGTCGTTCATGGTGATTATTGGTGTTCCTAAGAGGTCTCTATCTATTGCCTCATGCATTGATCTCTATCTGTGGTCCTAATACTTTATTTGTTTTGGTGACTGCTGCATTTACTTAACAATTAGGGACCATACTGATCAAGAGTTAGTTAACTGTCTATTTAATCGTAATTATTTTTGTGTCTAGGGACCATACTACTGTGGAACCGGAGCTGACAAGGCCTTTGGACGTGACATTGTTGACGCCCATTACAAGGCTTGTCTCTATGCTGGGATTAACATCAGCGGGATCAATGGTGAAGTCATGCCGGGACAGGTATAGAGTTGTTCTTGTTTGCTCATCTAGCTGGAATTGAATTGTTTCACAAACATTTGATATGTTTTTTTAAATCTTATGTAGTGGGAATTTCAAGTTGGACCTTCTGTTGGCATCTCAGCTGGTGATGAAGTGTGGGTAGCTCGTTACATTCTAGAGGTATTGCAGCTTAACAGTTGAAACTTTTATCGACTATTTTGGTCCATTTCAATTCAATTCTCTTGCTATCTTGTCGAGAGCTTGAATGCAATTTACTTATTGACTTGGTGGTTTAACAGAGGATTGCAGAGATTGCTGGGGTGGTCGTGTCATTCGACCCCAAGCCTATTCCGGTGAGCTTTCTACTCTATGTAATTCAGGCGTTTATTTGATTTTATTATCAAAACATGTAGGATACAAACTGGTCTTCCTTTCTAGGAAAACCGATGTATCATTTATAGCATAATGTTGGTGTATTAACAATGAATATTTCCTTTCTTGTCAGGGCGACTGGAATGGTGCAGGTGCTCACACAAATTACAGGTAGAGGAATACACTTCGTTGTTGCAACGTTTTATCTTTAAATTCAGTAGTCCTTTACGTCTAATACTTTGGTTTTATCTTTCCAGCACCAAGTCGATGAGGGAAGACGGAGGCTATGAAATAATCTTAAAGGCTATTGAGAAGCTTGGCTTGAAGCACAAAGAACACATAGCTGCATATGGTGAAGGCAACGAGCGTCGTCTCACTGGAAAGCACGAAACAGCCAACATCAACACATTCAAATGGGTATATTACCATTTGCCTTTCTCATCACTTCTCATTTGACAATAGAGTAACTTTAAAGCTAGTCACAAAAGAACAACGCCTAGTAGTTCGTTCTTTCTTTCTTAAACTCCGTTTTAGTCAAATTGTCAAGCCAAACACGTCCAACGTCTTACCTTGTCTCACGTTACACAACTTCATTTGACGTGTTCAGGGGGTTGCAAACCGTGGTGCATCTGTCCGTGTTGGAAGAGACACAGAGAAGGCAGGCAAGGGATACTTTGAGGACAGAAGGCCAGCCTCAAATATGGACCCATACGTCGTTACCTCCATGATTGCAGAAACCACCATCATCGGTTAACCTTGAAGACTTGATAGTATGAATTTGCTCGAGGGATCGCTTGTTTCTGGTTTGCACAATTTGGGATAGGAGAAAAGATTGAATTGTGGAACGACCCTTTGGACTTCACCTGTGTTATTTAGTTATAGGGATAGTTTGTCTCTGGTTATTTTTCTGTTTATTTGCCCCAGTTGAATTGTATTTTCATACAGCAAAGCCTTATTTCATTGCCTATGATTTGGCAATGCTGTGTTACAAATGTTATTCTTATTAATAACAAAGATATTGAAAGGGTTTGGTTCACTTCATTACTGTTTTTACCCTTGTTTCTATCAAGAGCGCGATTTCGTTTACTCGATACATTAAAAAAATAAGGAGGAAGGTTGCGATAGGTTAACGATAACGTACATATAGTCTTATTTGATATATATTTCAATTAGACTAAGGTTATTGTCAAAAAAGCTCTTTAGTATCTTGCAAGTATATACTATAATTGTAATTATTTTTGTGTAGTCTCAACTTCCCAAAACACAAAAGAAGCGTGCTTGTTAAAATTAATATCGGAATTAGTTATCTATTATCGCTTGTAGTCTGTCTATCAAAATTAATTTCGAAATTAGTTATCTATTATCGTTCGTAGCGACCCCTTGTAGGGTGTCTATCAATGCACTAACCAACCCCTGCTTGTAGGGGTATTGATGGTAAAATCAAATTCAATCCGTTTATTTTGTCTAATTTGTAAGGGTATTGCTAGCAAAATCTGACTCAATCTCAATCTATCTAATTTGTCTAATCGGTATAAATTTGAGGCGGGCTATTGACTTATTTATTTATTAGCTCAACCTATTATAATTATATTGATACGTAACTCGAATTAATTCTAGAAAAATCTTGTCAATTTTCTTTTGATTAAAATATGATATGCTATTGTATTATTTTAATAAAAGATAAAAAATAATTTTACTATGTACGATTAACTCATTACCCGACTAGTTTTGACCCGATATGATCCAAGTAAATTTAGATTAAATTGGATCTTAATCCGTTTAATATCTTGACTGAGCTACTCAAATTTGATCCAACCCGTCTAAATTTGGTCTGATCCGCCCAATTGTGAACCTTGGTTTAGGGTTTACTTTAGTAAATTGAATTTAGAAAATATTATTAAACCCAAAAAAAGAGATCATTCATCTTTCTATAATTTCTTCTAAAATTGAACTGTTCGATTACTCGAATGATGCTTCTCAGACAAGCTTCTGCTAGTTTAATTAAAAGATTTCGAATTTCCCCTAAATTTCTTGCTGCTACTCCACTTCACAGAAGTTCCCCTGTTTTGCTACCCAATGCTGGTAATTTTTTGAATTTTTATGTATTTTGAGTTCTCTGCGATGCTCTATAAGGATAAAGAATCGATTTTTATGCCAATTGTGCAGTTTTTCTTTGAGGTACTGTATATAGTGATGCTGGTAAATTTTGAATTTCATGTATTCAGAGTTCTTTATGAAGAACCCATTTTTCTGTTAATGAGAATGAAGTAGATCTTTTTTCATGTTGAACTTTGTTAAATGATCAAGATTTGTATTTGGGATAATTATGCAGCTTTTTGAGCTACAGTATTGAGTGATGCTGGTAAATATTGAATTTTATGTATTGTGAGATCTTTGCAATGAACTAAAAGGATAAAGAATCAATTTTATTGCTAATTATGCAGTTTTTTTGAGCTACTGTATATAGTGATGCTGGTAAATTTTGAACTTCTATTTATTCTGAGTTCTTTATAAAGAACCCATTTTCTTTTAATGAGGATAAAGTAGATTTATTTCATGTTTAATGATCAAGATTTGTATCTGGACTTTTATGCAGCTTTTTGCGCTACTGTATACAGTATGCTGTTAAGTTTTGAATTTTATGTACTGTGAGCTCTTTACAATGAGGCCACTTTTTAGTCATCAGGATAAAAAAATGTTTTTTTTGTTAGTGTTCAATGATCAAGATTTGCATTTGGGCTAATTATGCAGTTTTTTGAGCTATGGTATTCAATGATGCTATGTGCTATTTTGTATTTCCATCATTTTGTTAATCAGCTGACAATTTTATAAAGAACGCTTTTTCTGTTCATCAGAATTAATGAGTTGATTTTTCTCTTCCTATTAAGTTATGTTTGATGATCAAGATTTGCATCTGGGATAATTATGCAGCTTTTTGAGCTATAGTACTCAATGCCATGTGCTATTTTGTATTTCCAGCATTTGGTTAATGAAGAACCCACTTTCTATTCATCAGAATTAAGAGTTGATCTTTTGTTCATATTAAATTGTGTTGAATGATCAAGATTCACATCTGGGATAATTATGCAGCCATTTGAGATTTAGTGTACGATGATGCTAAGTGCTATTTTGTATTTCCATCATTTTTTCATCAGCCGACATTTTCATTTCTTGGCAGGACAATGTAGATTTTCCAGTGAGCTTGGTTCTGGAGGGTACTTTTCAGACTCATTTCGATGGATTTTTCTGTTTGGACCAGCTGGTATTCACTACTCTTATGGGGTAATCCATTTGTTTGTTGATGTCGGATGCTTATATTTATCTAGTAGCATATTAATATTTTCTAAACAACAAATGTCCAGCTATCCGAAACAGAATTCTTTTAGCAAGAAGGACCTCCACCTGTAATCATGTATGGTCATTCAATGTAGCAGAGGCAATATTGTTGTGCGGTCCTATTGATCTTTGATTGTTTCTTGAATTAAACACAATATGTTAGAGAGATTCATTTTTTGTTTGCAATTTTTTGGACTCCAGGAGAAAAATATTCTGTTGTATAAGGAAGCATCTTTCTCTAGATGTCATCATTTGAAGAAAAAGTGATAATTTTCTTAAGATAGAGCTATATATGTTCTGACATCATGACGTTGTATCTGGTTTTGTCTCCACTCTATGCTTCTCATTTTCCTACAAGTTTAGATCTGTGTGAGTGCAGTTCTTATTTATAAGAAAGAACGTTCTTGGCACACCATACATTTGCATGGAGAGTTTTCAGTGCTTTCATGTCATATTTCTTTCAAATTGTAGTTCTTTTCTGGAGATTTTGTTATTGAAGCCATGTACAATGTGAATTGCCATCAGAACTATTTGGTAAGAAATTAACCGTATTTTCCTGTTGCAGCCGTAATCCTTGGAGTAAATGTCAGTCCTGCCTTGGCAGAAGAGGTTTCTGATGGAATTGATGTCGAAATCAGTGGCTTGCGCAAAATTGAGGATGGGTCTGTAGTATCTAATATACACACATCCAAATGGAGAGTTTTTACAGACAGTGGAAGGGATTTCTTTTTACAGGCATGCAAGCCTCCTTTGTTATCACTGATACTTTGGTATTCATCGTTACAATTCAATTTGGTATTCATACTGTCTGAACTTGCAGTAGTATTTCTATTCAACTAGGGAAAACTTAAGAAAGCTGAAAAACTGTTCCTGGCTGCATTGCAAGAAGCTAAAGAAGGTTTTGGAGATAGGGATCCACATGTTGCATCTGCTTACAACAATCTGGTAGGTCCACTATTAGATGCCTTTTGTCCTTCAGGCACTCAATATAATCTTCTTCAGGCTATTAATAAAAGAATTTTACCTTATAAAAAAAATAATAATCTTATGCCTATAACGATATTTTTCAAAATTAATTCTAATGCAATGGCTGCCATGTATTTTTAAATCACCAAGTAGTGGTAATTTGGGAAGTGAGTCTTCAAGGTGCATTTTGTATGTTAGTTATTTGGCGGGTGATTGTTTAAATTTGTACATGCCAAGGAAGTCAATGAATAATGTGTCACTTCACAGAATTTGGTTCTTGGAGATGTGCTGATTCTCATTTCTTATTAAGACTCCAATTTTAAGATTGTATTGCATGAAGAAGGTTGAATCTTAAGATGAATCCAATACCAATGTAGTAGTCACATGTGTACAAAATGTCCCTTACTTTGAATGTCTAATACAAATATGCCACATGAAACAGGATAGAGTGAGTACACGTAATTTTAAGTAACAGTTTTGCATGAAACTCATTTTTCGCTTGACTGGTTAGTCTATTTTTGGAAGGTTATTGGCTATGTTTTTTGTGACAGGCAGAGCTATATAGAGTGAAAAAGGCATTTGATAAAGCAGAACCTATGTACTTGGAAGCAATCAAAATACTCGAGGAATCATTTGGACAAGAAGATGTACGGTATGTATTGAAAGGACTTCTAATAAAGCAGCCTATGTTTACTATATATTAGCATTATAGTTACACCTGGTTGTAGGGCATTCATATGTGTGCCATTTGATTACATGCTTTTCAATTGGTCCTTAATTAATACCTTTCCCTTATATGGGGTCAAATTTTTGAGTAGTATAGCAGTTTATATATGAACTTTGCTACTCTTATACTGCCCAAAGTGAGTCACCTGTGTTGAAGCTTGACACTTAAGCTTGGGTCATGAAAAGCATAGAAGAAACATGGTGAATCGTCAACGTTTGCAAACAGGTCATCTATTAGCAGATCTGATAACTTCCATGGTTTTCTATGAGAAAGAATTGTTGCACGCTAGTCTTCAGTTCTTTTATATTCAAACATTGAACTAAGCCTCAATCCGGAGGTTGTTGGGTCAATTATATGAATTTTCTTTGCAATTATGCTCATTAAAGTCCATTTATCTCCAATACTATTTTTTGTCTTTTTAGACAAATAAGGAGTTCTTGATATTTCCACTTATCTAGCATAGACACTTGTTTAACTAAAATCACAATTAGTTGATATCGTCTATATGGATCCCATACCCTCATTGTGTTGTCTTCTTAGTTAAGTCCAAATTGATTCCGAGTGTTTTTACGTCTTTGAAAACAGCGTTTCTCTGTGTGGTTTTAGGTCCAAGGCATCTCTTCTCATTGTGTTAGAAGTTATATCATAGTTAGTCTCCAAGGCTACAATCTTATTATAGAGTAATCATTACTGTGTCAGTCCATCTATCTGCATCTTCGATTAGTTGCTTGAAAGTTGATTATCACTTTCCTTTATATGCTTGATTTTGTGTCGTAGAGTTGCGGCAGCCCTTCATAATCTAGGACAATTCTATCTTATGCAAAGAAAACTGGAACAAGCTCGTGGTGTCTATGAGGTAAGTGGGCAAACATTTTCAGAGTCTTAATTTTCTTTCTCCATTCTTATTCATAAAATTTTATGACATTACAGAAATGTTCATGACATCGTTATATTGTTTATTAAGCTGATGTATATCTCCTTGTGGTTTATTATCCATGGCTACTAGATAGGTTTGCTTAGAAGTTCTGGATGTTATGTGCTTGGCTGGCATAATATATTAGTGTTTCCATCTCAAACATATGTTTGTATTATTCATTAAAGGACTTGAATTGGATCCAAGCTACATTTTCTTTTTTGGAGTCACATTGGTGTATATGGATGTCTTTGCTATACCACCTTCTTGCCATGATATCCCGTGTGCATGATTTTGCTTTTCAAGAGCTTATATTCTGTGACTTTAAACTTATGTATTAGCATTGGAAACAGTTCTACTCTTAAGTTAAATGCTTCTAATGCTGACTTGAGCATGGAGTGCTAGTTTCATTGAAGTTGAAAATTAATAAACCTTATCAAACTGTACTTAAGTTGCGCATACCTGTATTGCATATTGCATGGTTTGTTTGACGCGATACACATATCAAGTTAAAATTTGAAAATTTGGACTGCAATATGAAGGGAACATGTTGGGGCCAATTAGTTACTTTTTGGTTTTTTAATAATCAATATAAGAGAAAGGTTTATTGAGAAGTGCAAGAGTAGGGGTTATGCAACTTTCTGCAAAGCATATGATTGAACCTTCCTTTTCAATTCAGTGGATATGACTTGGGATAGAACAAGATATATTCTTTTGGATGGTTGGAGTGATAAAATTTTGCCTTCACCAGTCCGTCACTTGATATATGCTGAGGAATGATAGTCGTTTTTAATATTAATATAACTTTTATTTAACAATTGGCTTTTTTTTTTTTTACTGATACTGATACTGTTTTCTTTTCATCCATATTATTAACATGGCAGCGTGCTTTAAAGGTATGTTGTTATTACCAGGACTTGCAATGTATTTTCTTTAGTTGTTGCTATTAAAATTTCTAAATATCGATCTTTCACCATTGACCTTGTAGATAAAGAGGCGTGTCTTAGGGGAGGCTCATCTAGACTATGCTGATACCATGTATCATCTGGGAACAGTAAGGCCACAGTTTCCTTTCCACTTCATCTTCACATAGTTCTGATGGTCTGCATAAAAGTATACTTCTTGATGCACCCTAAGTTTGGGGCACAACAGGCCAACGCTTTTATATTGGTTACAAACAGCTTATAACCAGTCTAAAATGGAGTTCCACCCAAAGTGATGGAGAACAGGATAACACTTCAACTCCAAGTAAACAAGTCAAATACCAGATATATAGCTACCCGGAAGCTAAAAAACAATTATCCAGAGGGACACACCATTTGTTCACAGACTTTGTTACTTCACTATCTTTCTCTGTATCTCTTGTTAGGATATAGGTTTATTCCAAAATGGATGGAGTAATGCCTTTAGCAAAGCTGGCATGTCAAACTCTGAAGCAAGAGATCTCCTTCACAGCTTCTGCCTCTTATGCAAGATCTCTAATCAATCCTTTTCTCCCCCCTACAACTACGTGCATTTCATTTGTTAAAGTCTTCTTTTATCTTTAATTTCTTGTTCTAGTTAAAATATAATGTTGAACCTAAATCTTTTGGCTTGTGCATAGTAAATTCAATGTTTGGTTCTTTTCCTGTGTATATGATTTATGTTTCCTCTCTTTCACTTGATCCTCTTTGGTCACCCTTGTTATTCAATAGTTAGCTTCTACATTTATACGCTGGCTAATTTGAAAACGTAGACACAAGTAAATTTTGATATGATAATGCATATAATTTCCAGTGACTCTCCCAAAATTTGAAACCACTTCTGCTGATGGGCAGTCTTTTCTTGTGTAGTATGTCATTATTTTGACTGACAAGAGAATCCCACTCCGTTTCCAGGTGCTGTCTCTTCAGGGTAAATACAAGGATTCAGAGGCTCTGATTCGCGATTCTATTCGGATTTTGGAGGTTCCCAAATTTGATACACATTGATTGTGGGTTTTCTGTAATAAGATGATCTGTGTATCTGTTCTTACAAATTTGTTTACCATTGTAGGATGGTGGTCAAGGTGAATCAATGATATGTACCAAGAGGATGCAACAGCTAGCTCAGGTTGTGCTTCCATATTTTTTTTTTGCTTTTGCACCAAGGTTATGCAAATGTTGCTTGTGTATACAGTGAAAACCATTGAGGTTACTCTCGCTGGGTACATTTGATCTAGCTTAAATTAGTCCCATACGAAGGGACAGAGCACTATTTCTTTTGTCAATTCTGTATGATTGAGACTTAAACTTTTGTGGTGGACAAGTAAAGGATACTACAGAAGATTGATTAAATGTTGCTATCTGAATATGTCCTCCTAACAGTTATGCTTGTAATTATTCTGAAAAAACTTTTTCAAGAGTAGAAAGAGCAAGATGACCTGGTAACTTAAGCTAGATATGTTCCTTCTGTTTCTTAATAATGCAAGTAACTCTGTCAAAACTTAGCCAGGATACATTCCAACTGTTTGCATAGATAACTGATTTGCTAGCCTGTATAGTTTCAATACTTGAGTAGTAGTTCTGATCTTTACTAGCTCTGCAATATGAGGAAGTGTTTGATCATATAAGGAATGCCATCTGAACCATGACTATTCTTCATGTATTTTGTTAGTAATTCAACAATTTGCTTCTTAGTGGATCAAAGGAGAAAGCATGTGACTTGTACACTAAGGAAGTTTCTTGAAATGAAAGTTGTCATTCTCTACATTAGGGTAAAGGCATTGCAAATGACTTCTTTTTTATAATTGGGGTTCCTATTTTATTTCTTTTTCTTTTAAGGAGGTTGTAAATCTCTCCTTTTTCATCCTTTCCTCATCTTGTACCAGCCTTAATATTCTGAAAATATTGAGCTACTGCTCAATTCAAAATGCGTGTGTAATTGTAACAGATCTGCCTGCTTTTGTCGGTCAGAGAAGGCTGAATTACTTGGTAAAGTTGGCTTACAATCTACTCTCCTGTATAGATATACATCACAACTCACCGGATCGAAGAGGCTGAGAATGTTCTGAGGAAGATCCTGCATATTATGGAATTAGCAAAGGTATACTAACACCCTTTTTTTTTATTCTTCTGGAATCTTTCATTGTTCCAATCTGTTGTAGAATTGCTTATCTGAAGTTACGTGTCCAGTTTGTATTATCCGTTTCTGGAGTGCTGAGATCTTCATTGTGTTCATAGATCTTGTCGCTCTATATCCATACTCATTTTTCTCATATGTTGTTGCTCATATCTATATCTTACAGGGTTGGAATTCTCCAGAGACTGTAATTGCAGCTGAACGCCTGGCCTTGACCCTTCAGTCGCTTGGAAAATTGAAAGAAGCTCAAGAGCTTTTTCAGAGGTGAATCTTCTACCCCAATTAATTAGTGAGTAGGGTGGAGGCTTTTAAGATTCTGATCTAGCATGACACGATATAATTTTTGGAGTAGGTGTCTTGATGCCCGAAGAGCTTTACTCCCTGAAAACCACATTCAGGTTTCCCCTCTAAATCCTCAACATCATACTAGCAATTCAAGACGATTATATTATCAGTTGATTTTACTACTATGAATTCTGTGTAATTTCCCTTATTTCCTTCATAGATAGCTGCAAATTTGCTACATCTTGCTAGAGTTAAAATGCTCGACTCCAGTAAGCTCAACAAGAGTAATGTGGCTGAGCTTGATATGGCAAAAGATCTTTTAAGCAAGTCAATAAGGTATTTATTAGTCTTATCTTAGGTTTTCATCTTACATTTGTCTGCTAATATCTTTTCTTTATAATTAAAGGTATATTTGTTTTAGTCAAAGTTCAGTTTGAAATATCTCTTGATTTGTTAGTTTCCCTTGCGATTTCTCTCTTTGAGATTCATCATATTTTGTGCTTAACTTAAATAAAAGTGGAGGAATACCTGTTCTGTTGTGCGCATTATACTATCACACCACTCTCAGAACCCAAGCAAAATTGACTAGCTTTACATTGACCGTGAATATACTTGCAATCCTTCTTATCTTGATTCGGAACCAAAAATATGAGCTATCTTACCCAGGTAAAGTTGCATGACCACTACATATTTTTGATAAGACAATAATTGTAGATATGTAGGTATACACGTATATATAAGAAGACAATAATTGTAGATATGTAGGTATACACGTATATATAAGAAGAGAATCTACCCTAGAATATGCAAATATGATTCTCGGAAAAGAGACACAATTATCCAAAAATTTACAAGGCACTAAAGACTTCCCTATTAGACAAAGAATATTCCACTCTTTTAAAGACTATCTTATCGTTTTCTCTCTGGACTACACATGCAAGTGTCAAGAGGGCTATATCCCGTACACCACAACTTTTTCCCTTTAGAAGCGTAGCTGAATGTCACACTTGGCTGGAGTTTGCCACTGTATGCTGATCAAATTGACACCGACAATCATAGATGGCATGCTTCCATACTATGTGAAAGTATATGCTCTATATCTTCTTCCAGTACACTTTCTGCTCCTTCTCCATGTATCATGATTCATCTGTTTGTACAATTACAAGGTGAAGTTTTGGAATTTGTCCACTCTCAGTATTGCAGGTTTCTGTTTGAACCTCAAGTCTGAAAAGAGTTTCTGTGTATCAGTAGTGGATGAACTCTTGTATTATTTCTCACTTTCTTCTGGCATTGTTTAGCTTGTAGTTTAATCAAATTATGGTTCTTTTGACTCATCTCAACCAAGTAGAAATTACTCAAACTACATGTTACCAATCTTCTTATTTAATGTGTAATTGGTTGCAAGAAGTTTGACATGTTTTTCTCTGTCAAAATAAATGCTTTGCTCTATGTAGTTTACAACTGAACAAAGAATTGAGTTTTTTTGGGAGGAATCTTTTTTTTACTCTGGATAACATATCTTCTGTCTGATGAGTGTGATATCTATGCTATTTCATAAGTTATACCTTGTCCCACCTCGGAGCCACTAGAAGCTTCCCTTTGTAAGCGGGTTCCACAAGCTTGGGCATTATCAATATTGGTGACATCATGACAACTTTCCTTAGTCAATTGTTTTTCAAAATTGTTGATTGTAGTGTGGCTCGGGGAAACCTGGTGCATTCTGTGAGAGAGGAAGGAAATAAACAGTCTTATAAAGAATCTGAGACAACAGTAAGGAGCAGGCAATCAGCACTGATTATCCTGGTCAGTCTCATTATTGATTGTTTATGAAGGGAAACAGCCAGTTAGATGTTATTTTCTGCTAACTTCTGTTATTTGAGCAATCCTACCAATATTTATTCAAGATGTTAAAACTCTTAGATCCTTTATTGCTTTTCTTTCTGTGAAGTAGAGGCATATATAAATATATAGTACTCCTTTATTTGGGTACAATAACATACAGCTATAGTTTAAACTAGCAGCCAAAGACGGCAACGTCTTGTTTGGTCCATGTCTTGTATTAAGCAGGATTTAGCAAATTATATCTTCCAATCTCTCAAAATTCTTCTAATTTCTTACATTTTCTACTACAAGGCTGCCTAAGTTAATGTACAGACATATATGGGAGAATGTGTTCATCTTTTTGGCCTTTGTACTGTAGCTTAACTGACTGATGACTAGCGACCTTTTTAAAAAATTTATTTTCTTAAACTATGCTATTTAAATTAGCTTTATTGTGGATTTTCCTGCAGTTGCAGTCACTTGATGCTCTTTCATTGTTGGAGATGAAAAGGCTGGAGCTTGAAGATTCAAAGGTTAGATTATATCATGTTCTCTTTCATTAACAATCCTATCTGTTTCTCTTGGATATTTCAACGTTGAAACATGATGAAACTGATTTTTGACTGCACCTTCTACAGAAACTGGATCCTTATAACTCTGAAGCTGAGAGTGCTCTTCGTGGATGCATTTCTGCATACAAGGAGGTATGAGAAGTTTAGTTTTATCAGTAAGTTCGCAATTGTTATTTAGAATTATGGGTGCTTTAGCCAGGTTTCCAATTAGTTGAATGGTCGTATTTGACTTCGTTTCATGATATTGTGACTTGACTAATTATTACCTTTTATTCTTAGTTCTTGCTAGCTGCACCACATGAGAAAATAGAATACACTAAATAGGAAGTCCCAATGATTCGTCGAGTAACTTCTGTTTCTATCTCTCTGGATATATTTTCCTTGGATGGAGTCACAATTTTTTTTGAACGATGAATGTTATGCTTCTCAATTACGTCATGTTATGATAGGAAAAACAGTAGGGAGTGCTTTACCCCCCCAAAAGTAGGATTTCCTGGTGTTAATCTAGACTAGTTGGGCAACAAAGTGGGTACTAGACACCGAGTGGTAAACCAGTGTTGTGAACACACTGTCTGCTGCAACTCACGTCATGGTATGATGTTAGGCTTTTTTTTTAACTTCTGTCTAACACAATGGTCTGCTGCGACTCAAACATTTGCCTATGTATATGATGTATATTCATTCATATAGTTTTAGTTATTATTTGTTGTTTGTGCAGTTTGTAAATGACAAGTCATTATCTGATGCTCCTGGAGTAAAAGCTGAATACCTCTTGTGCTTGAAACATCTAGTTGATCTGTTACGTGATAACAGAAAAACGAGCAAAGATCGATCCAGCAATGCTGCTTTACAAGAGTTGAAAGATGAAATTAAACGCGTTGAAGTTGAACTCTCGAAGAAAGGAGGGCGTAGAAGTTAGCTACTCAATGGCGTAAGTCCATATCAATCAAGTACAGAGATAAACGCTTCAACTCTGTAAAGACATTGATGCCATTTTGTAATAGTTGTAGGAGGAAGGAAGTAAAACGAAAAATCGGACAAAGAAAAAAGGGAAGATTGCGTAGCCTCGGTCTGAAAAAAGTTGAGGTCGGTTATATGAATCTTCATTTCCTCGGTTTTACTGAATCTTATATGTTTTAATAAAAAAAGTGTCATTTCAAACAGAGTGAGTGACTATTTTCAAAAGAATATCGTCTTGTTAATTCAGCATTATATTATTAGAACCTTGCCTTTTTTGCTACTTGTAATAAGGTGTAACATGTACATGAGTCCACAATCTTTTTTAGTAATCCTCGTGTTCGAGTTCTGAGAATGGATTTTACTAGAGATCAAGGGCGGAGCCACCTTCACCGAAAGGGGTTCGAATGATTCCCCTCGATGAAAAATTACATTATTTATACATGATTAAAGTAATTTTATCCCGTTGGCTACTTCATGTGTCTATTTCTACAGATTTTGGAACCCCTTAATGAAAATCCTGGCTTTGTCTCTGCTAGAGACTATGAGCAACGAGTGAGTTACGGGTTCATCTGAATTCGATATCATTACCTCACAAGCTTTCGTGTGAATTTCAAATTCGAACTTAAAGTTAAAATTTTGAATCAGTCTTTATTAGTACTTTTTTTTTATTGAGCTTTATTCGACGTGAATCTTGATTAGTATTTGTTGGTTCTTAAGTGGTGCCGTTGATTTGATTTTATTATTAATTATACATTTTATATTTGCAATTTTCTAATTAGACTAATCAAACAGCCGACGGCTAAATTGTTGTTTGATTAGAATTTGGTGACTAATTATCTATATTCTACTTAAAAACAAAATTATAATCTTTGTTGATTACTATTTATTTTTGTTTTACTTAATTGCAATTGATAAAGACCTTAATTATTCTTCAAAAATAAGATAAAATTACGTGCCGTAACCAAATATAATTCCACTTTTATATTATTCTAAAGAACACTACACTTACATTTCCATCTCAATCATTTAAATAAATAATTAGATGCCTAATTAGAAGGGTCTACATAATAATACAAAATTTAATTATTCAAATTGTTTGAAATTATTTACTAAGTTCCTCATTTGGACCATAGATATAATATCCATTGCCTTGCCGACAATAATATCTCTAATTATAGAAAATTACATACCACGTATAATTTCGTAAATCGAATTTGAAAAATAATATATATGCAATTTTATTCCTATCTTGTTGATACGAAAAAAAGATTTCACTAATTGTAAACAAAATATATTGTGTATTATCTTATAAATTGAATGTATGAAGATGATATATATACAATCTTATTTTTATCGTATCTACGCCACAAATATATCATTATATGATAGGACGTATTTTAAATTTAGTAGTGGAGTATTTGCATATGCAACTTGACTAGGGGACAATATATAAAAACTAGATTTATGAAGTTTTGTTTCTTAAATAATTTATATATTTGATAATTTCAAACGCGATAATGTATAAAATAAAAACTTAAAAAATATAAATTTCATTTTAAAATTCAATATTTATTTGAGAATGAAATTGAAATATTTTTTAAAAAATTACGATATTGTAATGATAAAATTAAGCATATATAAATTACATACCAACTTTTTATTTAATCGATGTCCTTGTAATATAATTATAACAATCAATAAATAATCACTAATGATTGTAATAGATGAATAAATATTTTGCAATCTTATTGAGTTAAAATATAAAAAGAAGTCTTGAAATTAATGATTTTTTCTTTTTAATAAATATTACTGAGTCATAAATTTAAATTAATCGACGAAAGAAAATAAAAAGCATTAACGAGTGAGTAAAAGTAAATAAAAAATTTGTCATTATTGTGAATTTAATAACTTTTAGAAATAAATTCTTAGAATTTTTATGAAAGTGAGTGGCCCCAATATAATTAGTTTCTCACCTAAAAAAGTCATTCTAGGGCCCCAAAATGACTCAATTAAATTTAAATACTATAGTTTTTTTTGGTACATTCAAATTAAATATACACATATTAATGTGTACATCATAACAATTATGACCTCTAAGGCTCTAGCTTCCCTTTAGTAACGTTTGAGATTTTTTAAATCGTTTCTCATTTTGTGTTTAATATCTGAATAGAATTTGATCAATTTAAATTTATATAAATTAATTTTTTTAAAAAGAAAATAAAATGCTATTTATTAAAGATAATTTTATTTTAAAATTCAAGCTCGAAATATCTCGTCGTGTATTATAAAAATATTTTTAAAAAATTATAATTAGCTAAATGAAAATCTTCATGTATTGCTTAAAGTAATTCCACTTTCAAAAGTCAAAAATTAGACGTTAGATTTATTAGTTTTATCCTAAAACATTTACATGACAAAAAACTTTATGTAATATATTATTTTAGAATTTAAGCTTAGCAGACTGTTAATATTTATATTTTTTTTCCATATTATTGAATTAAGTCGTTTTATAACAACATATTAAACTTAGCATTTCAAAACTTAAATCGTAATCTAAAGAAGAGTAATACGTAATTTATGATACCAAATTAAGTTAAATTGATAGCGTAAATAATTTCATTCTATTAATAACCTTGACAAAAATAGGACAAGAGTAAATAACAAGGATTAATGTTATAGACACAAATTCTACAAATATTCTTTTAATACTATTAATGAATTTTAACATATCATAACAAGGTAGTAATTATTTTTTATGGAATTATCAATATTTTTCAAGAAATTTACTACCTATAAATAGCTTTATTTTATATAAATATTTTTCACACAATAAATGCACAATATTTTTGCACTCTAATTACGAAAACAACATATTTAGTATCTAACGAAAATAAAATTCGAAAAAGATATCCACGACCTTTACCCTTAATAAGCATTAGGAAAAGCAACCAACTCCTTTTCCTATTTTTTTTTATGGTCGGACTAGTTTTTGCGTATTTTAATTAATTTCGTAAAAATCTCTTTAAGTCTCATCTTCAATCAGCAACATACATCAGATAACTCTATCTATTAAAGTTAGGACAGATGAAAAGAATTAACCTTAAAATATATTTTTTTTATTTTCACTAAATTTTAAAATTTTAAAATTTTAAAATTCTCGACCATTTTATTAAGCGGGTGGAAAAGCAACCAACTACTTTTCCTCATACTTACAAAAAGTGTCAAACTTTTAATACTCTCATTATTTCCAAATCCAAAAGAAAATACACTCTTTTTTCTTCTTCTTCTTCTTTTTCTTTCAAGAAAACATCATGTCATCTTCATCTTTCCACATAAAAAAATCATCAAAAGTTTGTAGTAATAATATTGATGATTTATCTCTAAAGAAATCAACAACATTGGCTAATTGGTATGAAGAATTTGAAGTACTTTCAAGAAATTATAAAAAAGCTCAAGAACCATCATCAAGGTACAAATTACAAGTTATTAAAGAAGTTCAAGAATTGTCATCTTCACCTAATGTTTTTATTCCAATTGTACAATTAAATAATAATAATTTAAATAATAATAATAATAATAATAATAATAATAATAATAATAATATTTCTCTTTTTGATAAATATGAGATTGATAGAATATCAAGTCAACTAGAAAAATACATAGAAAATAGTTCTAAAGAGAAAATAATTAAGAGTAGTCATGATAAAAAGTTTAAGATTTTTAAAGGGTTTTTATTGTTTAGATATTATAAAATGATGTGTGTTACAAGTTCATATGATGATGTTGTGGTGATGGAGAAAAATGTTTACAACAATTCACGGTTGCCGGAAAAGTCGCCGGCGCCGGTGGTGAAGTTTGACACTTGCCGGCCACAGAGAAAGCATGTCTAGTTTGTCACGTCGTGGTCAGAGATGGATTTAAAATTTTACTTTGATGTAATTAAAGGTTTCTATCGTTGAATTTATTGTATCTTTAAACTTGCGAGTTTGGATAAATTTGTAACGTATTTCATGTACATATTTATTATGTTACACATTTAAAATATTGTATTCGACTCCTCCTTTAATGTTTGGCAACGTAAGGAAAATACACTTAAAATAAGATTTTCATTTTGATTTTCGTTTTCATTTTCATGCCTCAAATTCAAAATATATGATTAGAAGTGAACTAACTTCATCCATTGTTCGTGCTCTATTTAATTTTCTTTTAGAAATAAAATTGTGACTATATTTTTATTTAAATTTTTTATTATTATTGATATTAAATAAAACTTATATTATGACTCAATTAAATTTCTAAGTCATGATACAAAAGTTTCCTCATAAAGACAATTTATATTCAAAATTCAAAGTCAAACTTTTAATTAAGTTTGTGAGATTGTGAATTTAATTCCATTTTCATTTATTGCAATATATAACAATGTGGTGACAAGTTGCTATTATATAACTTGAAATTTGAATAATATCTTCTGCATGGTACCATAATAAATACTTTATGTGGGGGTCTGATCTGTCAATATTTATTTTAAAGAAGTGGTGTCAAAGTGCTCATAAACACAACTATAAATTATAGAGAGCCAAAAAGATAGAAAATAATTTTTCATATATTTATTTCTACAAGAAGCAAGTTAGCTTTTTAAAATTGGGAGATATCTGATTTTTCATATTTAAATTAATTAATGGATATGATTCATTATATTTAGCTTTAATCTATAAAATATTTAATGAATGTTTGATATTCATTCTCAAACATGACTATTAGGTTGAAAGAGTGAGACCAAGTGTTCCTTTTTTTTCTTAAATAAAGTGTAAAAATCCATTTATAAGTATCAACATAATATTAGACCTATTAATTTATTTTCTTGAGTAATTTTATTTTTCAATCAAAACAATATTTAGTAATTAAATAAATTCTAAAAGAAAGAAAATCGATTTTGAGTTAGACCGATTAAGCTATGACCAATAAATTAGCAAAAGATTCAAAGTGATCTATTCATTTTAACCTAAGCATTAACTTCAATTAAACAAACTCAATCTTTAAAAAAAATCCAATTTTTTAAACAAATTGTTTGACTATTGACAAAGTTAATCCGCTCTAATTGAACAAACTCAATCTTTGAATAAATTCCAATTTTTTAAACAAATTGTTTGACTATTGACAAAGTTAATCCGCTCTAATTCGCGCAACTTTAGCCCAACTTGCTCATTTAACAACTTCATATTTTTTTTTGATTGATTTTTACTTTTGCTCATATTTTATGTGTTTTTAGTTTTTCTTCCTTTCGTATTACATGAATATTTTTTTTGGATGACAAGATTATATACATATTTTATATAAACTAGGGATTTACCAAGTTTTGAGGCATCTCTGCCTCTATGTTGTTGCCATAGTTGGCTAGTACTATTACATTACCAAAACATGTTAACATATTATTACAAGTGATCCTTAAAACTAGTTTAGTATATATCGCCCCTCGTTGATCATCCTTGACAAGAGATACAATATGGTCTGGAGGAGCAGGTAATATAGTAGCTTGATTGGATGGTGTTAGCTTGGTACCTAGTTTTGACAAAAAGTTTGCCACCTTATTTGCTTGTCGGAAGCTGCCTGACCAGTGGATTCCCCAACCTTTTCATAAGCAACCCGCAAAAATTAATTTTTGTTGTATAAATAGGTTGAGAATTTTCTAATGCTTCTACCTCATGGAGTCTAGCTTGATTTCAATTTTCAACAGGAACAATAGAATATTCATAAGCTAATCTTAAACCATCGAGAAAAACTTTTATTTCAGCTATCATGGTGTGGCTTTGGATAGTAATATGTTATGATAAAAATCCATTACACAGTTACTATTTTGTTCCCTGATAACTACTCCAATACCACCCTTATTACAAACTTTTGAAAAGGAGTCGCATCTGTTAAGTTTGAAAGATCATACCTGGGGGAGGGGAGGGACCACCTAATTCTAACGAGGTAGGAAGATTGAGGATCTTGCGCTTGATAAGTATAACGTCGGTATTCAATCATTTTATTATTCACCAGGGCAGGTGATAGGGATGAGTTTTTGTTGCTAAAAATATTATGATTGTATTTTTTTCCATAAACTCCAAAGGATGAAAGGGAAAAAATCCAACCAGTTGAATAGGTTGCTGAACTTATGCATCATAATTATATTTTTAAATAATGCGTCCTTCAAGAATTTATTCTCTTTCATACATAACTTTGAATTCTGAAGATAGAGATTAAAGACCTTTCTTTTTGAAGAATAAAATTTAAATTACGATTCATTTGAAGAGCAAAATTGTAACGGCCTAATCCGCTGGTAATATTGTTCGCTTCGAACCTATACACACTCAACTTTAAAATGTATCACTAGTGGATAAGATATGCTTACTACGACACTGAGGTTTGCCCCACTGCAAAGCAAACAAGAGTGACATACCATTTGTGACATTCTAATCCGCAAATGATATAGCCCGCTCTGGGCTTCGGCCTGCATGACTTTAAAGTGTTTAGGATCCGTTTGGATTGACTTTGGGCTTATAACTTAAAAGCCAAAAGCTATAAGTTAGGATTTTTAACTTATGACACTTGCTTATTTTTGTTATTTTGACTATAAAATAAGTGTGTATAAATACTTTTTTAGATTTATCCAAACAATTCAAAACTTATTAAAAATTATTTTGACTTAAAAACACCTAAAAATAAGTCAATTCAAATGGACAGTGGCTTGTGACCAGTGGGTAAAATGTCTTAAGTGTTTTGTCGATGCGAGACTTGTTATCTTAAACGGTTAAACGGGGTATACTCAAATATTTGATTTTCTTTTAATTATTATTATTATTTTCTTAAAATTTGGTTCAGTGTTTTACTATTGTTAACCCCATTGATGAACCTCAAACAAACAATTCAGAGATGTTCACAATGACCATCTCAAGAAAAGCACTAAAAAAAACCCTTTCTCCTCCCTTACACCACCTCTCCACCACCACCCCCACCACCCCTCCATGGTTCACCCCACCCCCACCCCCACCCCACCACCATCAAGATTCATCAGACCCAATACTCAAAACCCTTTCAGAAGCCATAAAAAACTCTCCTTCTAAACCCCTTCAAGTTTCCCTCAAACCCCTCCTTCCATCTCTTAAACCCCATCACATAATCAATCTCATTAACCTTAATCCTCACTCTTTACCTCCTTCTTCTCTTCTCTCCTTCTTCACATGGCTTTCAACTTCCAACCCTTCAAGATTTTGCCACACACTTCATACCTATTCCTCTATGACACTTTTTCTTTACACCCACAAAATGTATCCACAAGGTCACTCTTTTATCAACACTATTGTTTCAAGAAAAGGTAAAGACTCAGCCTTTACTGTTTTTCAAGCATTCTTGAAAGCTAAAGGTACAAACTTTACATCTTTTGTGAATGTTTTGAATGGACTTATAGATGTTTATTTGGATTTGGGGTTTGTTTCTGATGCTATTCAGTGCTTTAGGCTTATTCAAAAGAATAAAATTAAGTTTCCTTTTCAAAGTTGTACTAAGGTTCTTGAATATTTAATGAAGCTTAATTCACCAATGGTAGCTTTTGATTTTTATAAGGAGCTTTTGGAATATGGATATCCTGCAAATGTGTATTTCTTTAATGTTTTGATGAGTAAGTTGTGTAAGGAAGGTAAAATGATGGAAGCTCGGTCGGTGTTTACTGAGATGTGGAAGAGGAATTTGAGACCTAGTGTTGTTAGTTTCAATACTTTGATTAATGGCTATTGTAGATTAGGTGATATGGATGCAGGGTATAGGTTGAAAAAAGAAATGGAGGAAAGAGGAATTTCCCCTGATGTTTATACGTATAGTGCTTTAATCAACGGTCTTTGCAAGAAGTTTTGGATGAGTGATGCAAATGAGTTGTTTAGTGAGATGTGTGTTAAAAGTTTGGTTCCTAACGTTGTTATTTTCACGACTTTGATTAATGGCCATTGCAAGGGTGGTAGTGTTGCTTTGGCTATGGACACTTATCAGCAAATGCTGAAGCAAGGAGTGGAACCAGATTTAATCACATATAACACACTTGTCAATGGACTTTGTAAGAGTGGGGATTTAGGGGAAGCGACGAAGCTCATTCATGTGATGGTTGAAAAGGGCTTGAAGCCCGATAAGATCACATACACAACAGTTATTGATGGATGTTGTAAGGAGGGAGATTTAGATGGAGCATTTGAGATTAAAAAAGTGATGGTTGATAACAAAATTGAACTTGATGATGTAGCATATACAGCCCTTATTACAGGTTTGTGTCGTCAAGGGCGAACAGTTGATGCAGAGAGAATTTTAACTGAAATGTTGAATATCGGTTTAAAGCCTGATGACCCCATTTATACTGTGGTTATTGATGGTTTCTGTAAGAAGGGAGATATGAAGATGGGTTTTAAGTTGCTAAGGCAGATGCGAAGTAATGGACATGCACCTAATGTTATAACTTACAACGTGCTTTTGAATGGTCTATGCAGACAAGGACAGATGAGGAATGCTGAAATGCTATTACAAGCTATGCTTAATCTAGGTTTGAATCCGGATGACATTACCTATAACATTCTCTTGGAAGGGCATTGCAAGCATGGGAATCCTGATGAATATGATAAGCTACGTGGTGAAATGGGGCTTGTGCATGACTATGCTACTTATACTTCACTAGTTGGTAGCTTAAGTAGGACCTCAAAACGTCAGCCCAAGAAGTCTTTCATGTAATCAGAGAGCTCAAATCAATGAAACTGTGCAGGCTCCCTTGCTCTCTTGGGAAATGAGTCCCATGGTGATCCATGGAACTTCGACGGGTTGTCTGAATGTGAATTTATTCATCTTTCCTGCTTTTATGAGTATTGATGGATCACTTGAGCGCATACATTGGGGTTCATCATGTTGGCTTTTGGGGGTTTGGTTGTAAATTGAAGTTGAGGCAGTCCATTCTTTCAGTTTATGAATCTAGCTGGAGTTCTGATCAGACTGCTTCGTAACTGCTGCCGTATTGTAGGTGAAGTTTATTCCATGAAGTTAATTACACTGTGAATAACGATTATTTGGGTGGTAGGTTAATTCATGCGGCTAGATACAAATGAGGTTTATAGAAGCAGAGGTAAGAATGATGCAAGATGTTATCCAAATAATATTGAATGGATCAGCTCAAGTTTCTCCTGGCTTGTGAATGATGCTGTAAGATGGATGCCTTGTAGTTGCCAGGTGATCTTTCTTTACCTCACAAAATTGCTTGAAAAAGGCTTAAGTTCCTTTACTTGTCCTCGTTCATCTTCTTCTTGTGGTTATATGATTATATTCATTCTTAGTCTACAATATACAAAAAGAGAAAAAGCCAATAGTCTATATGGACCCTTGTGTGCATATAAGTTTTTGTGTACAAGGATGCATGATATTTCGTTCTATTATCTTATCACAAACAAGACACCTTTTGGATAAAGGAAAAATGTTAGACACAAAAACATGTCTGCATGCAATACATGTACCAAAAAGCACAACTGATCCACTTGATTCATAGAGAAATTGATTTTTAGCACAACCAAGTAAGGAAAAATAAATGAAGGAGAGTGTTTTGCCATCACAGCATGAACTATCTTATGGGCCAAATGTTTCTAATTCAGCAAATGCACCACTACCTTGAGCGGGTCTACCACTACTAATATTTCTACTCCTATTAATGATAATTCTTTACTTTTTATTTGATCGATGTTGATTGTAGTCGTCTTTTCTCGTTTGATTGTTGATTTGATGATGTACTTTTACTATATTGACGCTATCATGGAATCTGTCCACATGTTATATTGATGCTTTAATGGAACCTATCCATAGTCAAATGCCATATAGGAAGTGGTTTGAACTTTTGGCTACATATTTTGGTTTGTTTTGCTAGTACTATTCATTATGTCTGATTTTGCATAACCAAGTTAGTCCCGTTATTTTAGGCATATTTTGTAATAGCTATATTGGCAAAGCTGCTCCTAGTTAGCTCACATATCAACTTTACAAATGCGTGTATAGCCTCTAACTGCTACAATCTATTTTTGACCCTTTCCCTCTCATTAATTTTTTTTCGTTGTTTGGATTCGTTATAGCAAGGGATCCTATATCTTGGTCCTTTCTTCATCATCTATATTATATTATTTCCTTTTCTGGTGGTATCTTGCAGTGTATTACATTTCATTCGTTGAAAAATTTTAGAACTGCAATCTCAACATGTTGCGCTTCCCTCAGGTCATGTAAAAGGTGTCTTACAGATGTCTTAAACTAGTCCGTCAAGATTGCAGTCTTTATACACCAGTGATGAAAGGCTATCTTTTTTCTCTGATAGTTGAGAGGAAGCTAGTACATCTCTAGTTAGCCTCAAGGATCTGGCATGAGTGATACAACAACAATAAGAACCAAGTACCCAGTGTACGCAGACCATACACCCCCTACCTTGAGTGATGGAGACGACAAATCGGACATGAGTAAGCTTCAGCTGTGACATTCAAAGATGATGTATACCAAGTTCAACAGCTCTGCTGAAAAGTCATGTTCAAGGTAAGAGATAGAAATATATTTCGAGTATCCTTGTCTCTCTTAACAAATAAGAAAGGCAATACAGAGACATGTTCCAAGCAGTTTTTCCATTTGCAAGAAAGTTTTTTTCAGGCTTTTCCTCCAATGAATTGGTTGAAGTGCAACACGGATGGATGATACATGTCCAAGAATTCCTCAGAAAAGTTCTTGTGGCTTTTTTATATGCTGAGGCGTCAAGTAATCTTATCTATGCCCATAACAACAACATATCCAATGTAATTCCACGAGTAGGGTTTGGGAATGCTAGAATGTTCACAGACCTTACCGCTGCCTTTGTGGGGATTAATAGAGGCTGTTTAATGATCTTATTTATCTATGCACACGCCCCGAGGAAATTCATGCTACTACAGACATGGAGGTGAAAGCTATTGCAACTAAGGAGGCTCTAAAATATTGTGTGATAAATAATATGGTCCAGATGAAACTATTTTCTGTGTTCACTTATGGTAGTTTGTCATTCTGTAATAGCAAACTTTACAACATTCTATAATCTGTTAGCTAATACTATAATTTTTCTTTAAGTTTTTGCAAGTTCATATTTCTTACATGATGTTATTAACTAAAACTTGTCAAAGGGTCTATAGGAAACATTCTATGATGTTTCTTTTGCTAAATACACTCGTGAGATTATACTGAACTTTGTTTTTATCGAAATTAGTTGCATGAGCCATTGAAACAGGAGTAATATATTTCTAACAATATTCAGAAATAGACAGATTTAGTTTTATAATCTGAAGTTGTAAGATTTTTATTATTTGCAAAGTAAAGAGTTTTTCTGTATTAACTACACACTACGATGCATTTTCCTTTTGGGTATTCATTTCTTTTTAGATATAATTTTTCATTTTATTTAAAAATCATTATAGTAGGGGTGAAACTTACAAATTCAAGTTAAAATATATCTAAAATTAAAAAAAAGGTTATTTTCAAACTCCTTTTTTTCGCTTATAAAGTTATCTTTACATTCGAACATAAACATGATTTTAAAATCAAATAAAGTAAAAAGTGAAAATTATTTGGTATCTATGATCAAACGCCTAAATAAGTAGAATTCTAAGAATTTCTTTTTATATTTAGAACATTACAATCTTATTTAAAATATTTGAAAATTATTTTTATCCTAAAATTAAAATTAGGAAAATCTAGTGAAAGAAAAAGAGGAAATATTTGTATTTTTTTGGTCCAACAGGTTATGGTCAAACTGTAGCAGCCCATTAAATCCCTGGCTCCAGCCCATTCTTGTTCTAATGAAATCGAAATTTTCAGCTATATTTTGTCAGTACTCACAGAATCAGAGCCAAAAGTTGGAATTTTGATAGTCTTTTAGTGATTGGTTGGTCACCAAGAATATCAAACCGCAACACCCACTTGATTTTCTAGCCGTTCTTGATAAATTTCTTCAATCTTTTACTCCAATTTTGCACATACTCAGTAAGGTAATTCTTCGAATTCTTGATTTTTGTATGTTTTTATTAAGTGGGGTTATGTGTTTTTGCTCAATTTTTTATCCTAATTATAGTTTTGGTTATAAAAATCTGTTCTTGGAATGTATTGTTACACTTTGCAGTAGCAAGAGGGAAATGGCAGTAGTAGCTGATGATGATCATGAGCAACAAGTTAAGCAACCAGAAAAGAAAAAACCAGAGTCCGAGGATGATAAAAGGTCAAATTGTTGTTTTATTAAGAATTGATCCAGTTCACTTTATTCATTAATTTATGAAAATAATAGTTTTTGTGAGCTGTTAATCATTTCTTTTCAAGAACAAGAGACTGAGGACGACTAAAGATCAAATTTTAGAATTCACCCAGTTCACTTTATTCATGCAGCAACAACAACATAGCTAGTGTAATCCGACAAGACGAGTGGGGCCTGGGGAGGGTAGGATAAGTTCCGATAGACCCTCCGATCAAGTCAGTTTACTTTGTTCATGAATTTATAAAAATAGAAGTGTTTTTAGCTGTTATTCAGTTTCTTTCAAGAAATAAGAGACCAGGGATGAAAAAAATGTCATTATTCTCTTAGGAATTGACCCAACAACAACATACCCAGTGTAATCCCATAAATGGGGTCTGGGGAGGGTATAATGTACACAAATCTTACTCTTACCTTGGGAGGTGGAAATAGAAATAATGTAAGTGAAGAAGCAATAGCAAAATACTATAGAAAGCATGACAGACCATTGGAAAAGGACAATAGAATAATAAGATAATCGAAGTACATGAAACTACAGGAGTAATACTATGGTTATTAATATGGAAGGATTAGCAAGACTACATTTTCTTACCTACTGTTTATTCACATTTTGTTCAATGATGACTTGTATGCAGAAGAAAAAAGATTGTTCCTGGAAGTTTGATGAAAGCTATTGTGAGGCCTGGTGGTGGTGAATCAAAACCTGCTGAGGGTAATCAGGTATACTTGTACATTTTATTTTCTGAATTGTGTTTGTGATGATGATGAAGGTTCGTATTGATGCAAAAATCAGCTTCTGTGAGTTCTAAGTAGGAAAAAAGTATTGGTTACTTATTGTGTTTTTGATGAATTTGAACAGGTAATATATCATTGTACAGTTAGAACACTGGATGGAGTTACAGTTGAATCGACACGGTCAGAGTTTGGAGGTAGGGTTGATACATGGAACCTGTGAGAAACTATAGATTTTAGGGGTAACACTTATGCAGAAGGATTAGGGATATAAACATGCTGCTTACTTCATTATTCTTCTCTGGAGTACAGAATACTGAGTAGTAAAATAGTACCACGAATAAATATATGCTGATAAGATTTACAGAAAAAATCTCCACCACTACTTTTAGATTGTCTTATAAATTAACTCAGTCGTATTTCCATCGTTGCACTAGAACTGTGCAGTCGGTTGCTATCATTTCAGTAATTTTTTTAAAATTTCGTTTCTTGGAATGATTTCGCTACTTTTTAGTTTTAGACTCTCTTAAATATACTGAACATGAACTCTGTAAGCTTGTAGTATGCCAATCTTGCCTTAATGCATTGAAATCTCTTCTCTTTTACATTTTTATTACTCAGGCAAGGGTACCCCAATAAGGCATGTTGTTGGGAAAAGCAAGATCATTTTAGGATTGCTGGAGGGGATTCCAACAATGTTGAAGGGTGAAGTTGCAATGGTATATACTTTTGAACTTTTCATTTAGTTATTGCGACCCGAATCTGTATATTTAAAGTCCTTCAAAAGTAAACAATTCATAACATGTCATATTTCTCTGCTAAATCATCTCAAAATTGTGAAGCTTTTGGTACTTTCTCCAGTAATTTCTTGTTAGTTTCATGAAAAGAACATGTTAAATCTACTTTTTTAGTAACCTCTTCAGAATATAATACGTCTCCAATATTTAGATGCTGTTAAAAGGGATAAAATAGAAAAAAATAATCTCTGATAATTTTATAAGCCCATTAATATGAGTTTGTGAATTCATTTTCTCTTTTTTCTTACATCTTTACATGGATGATAAGAAAAATCATATTCATAGCTCACTGTTTGTTGCCTGATGTTACCTCAGTTCAAAATGAAACCCGAAATGCACTATGGAGAGAAGGATTGTCCAGTTGCAGCTCCAGATAACTTTCCCAAGGATTCTGAGCTTCATTTTGAGATTGAGTTGATTGAATTCTCCAAAGTGAAGGCAAGAATGCTCCTTACATCCCTTTTAACGTCAATGAAATTAAAGTTGCAATCCATATGAATCTGCTCCTCTAGTTTCTTGGTGCTTTCTGCCCTGTACTCATATGAATTAGTGCCTGCATAGTCTTGTTGGAGCTGTATGTGCTGCTATTTATTCCGTATGCTACATCTTGATATCACTTATGTTGTCCCTTATTTAGTATGATGGCTATGAAATGAGCTTGAATGAAGAAGTGGTGATTCATATAGAGGACCCAACTTGATTGGGACTGAAGCGTAGTTGTTGTTGTAGTATGGTTTCCTATCTTTTTACTGCATCTGATTGTTGCAAATTGCTACTAGAAGAGTGGTAATACTTCAAAAACAAATTTTCTACTTAGAAGAAATTGTTAGCAAACATTTAAAGTCTTTCCTTTTCAGATCAGCACTAGATTTCCTGAAGTTACGTGAAAGCTTTTCAGTCAGACCTTTGAATTCCTACCTTTCCCCCTCTTTTAGAAATTTTGGTAGTTTCATTTATGGTAGGGGATGTGTCTCAAAAAACTTATCTTTTTCATTTTCATTCTCAGGTGATCACTGATGATTTGGGAGTCCTAAAGAAGGTACACAGCTTGCTGCTTAACAGTTATTTGTCCTTCATCCACACCAACACCCTCAGTAATCTATTTGAACACATGCACATCTGTGTCTGATTACTATCTGGTGTTTTCATTCAATGCTGTAATCAGTGTAATAAGCTGCAATTTTGTTAGCTTACAATTTTCAAACATAATGCAACTACAGAATAAGAATTGTCATAGCGAGATGTGGTTTCAAATGGCTTATTGAACTAAAATGTATTAGATGTAATAAGTGAAATGATTGTTTTGGAATTTTAAACAGGTTATAGAAGAAGGACAAAGCTGGGAAACACCACGGGAACCTTATGAAGTAAAAGCTTGGTAGAAACCCTCCTTTTTCCTGAGGCTTCTAGTTCCCATGGATGCTTCATTGATTGTTCTAAATATGTGTCTGTAAGTGTAATCTGAATTATGATATATTCTAGGATTTCGGCGAAGTCAGCAGATGGCAAAGTGATTCTATCGTGGACCAAGGATGAACCATATTTCTTCACATTTGGTAAACCTGAGGTTCGGTAATGATTTCCATACTTGAAATTTTGTCTATAAAGCTCTTGATCGCAAGTGTTTTACGTTCGACGAAAATTTTATATAGTTTGGAGTTCCATTTTCAATTGTGTTGGAATGCCAAGCTCCTTAGTCTTGCTGTCTAGAACTTCAGGGTTTCAATTTCCTTTTATCTTGACCGCAATGTATCTAATCATGCATTCTATTTTCACCAACTCTAGGTACCCAAAGGTCTTGAACTGGCGATAGCAACCATGCCACGTGGAGAGAAAGCAGTCATTTATGTTAAAAGCCAATATTATACAGAATCTACTTTAATGCCTGTGGTAGAAGGTGTTGACGAAGTCCATTTTGAGGTGGAACTTGTTCATTTTATTCAGGTAGATGCTTTATTCTTGACCAGTCCGAGAGTGCTTCTTCTTGCAGGACACATTCTTTTGTATATTTTTTTATATTCTTAATCTTCAATTTCCAGTCACAATGTCGGTGATGAAACAATGTATTTGCTATATTACACGGACTCTTCATTTGACTTGACATACCCATGCTGAGTAGATATCACATGAATTTGGATACTTTGAGAAGTTCTTTGAAAAATTGGTGTTTCCTCAGCCTTGTCACCATAATTTGGTGCATTTTCAGGATGTAATCATGATGTTCTGACTTGTCTTTGATCATATTTTCTCCATCGGTAGGATGTATAGCATTATTATGATGGCCACCTTACTATTATCTTTAATTTCTAATGCT